ATTATCCCACATGAAAGAAGTTTCCTTGTGTCAACATGGAGGTAAACAAATTATTGTGCATTTTTTGGTTTGGAGTTTCTAAAATGAATTTATAAAAAAGTGCGGAAGAATCGTCCACGGTGCCATCATTAAAGATGCACATATAGTAATTTACTATTTTATTCTTGTCGACGGAACGCCTGACGTTTCTTATACTGAGCAAATTGCATTTATACTCCGATTTGTCTACAATGGTATTGATAAAAGACAGGTAGTTAATTAGCGCTTTCTTAAGGTCGAAAATCTTAAACAAAAGAAATTTGTGGATATTGCCAAAATAATTATGGATTTCTAGGATCAAAATGACATCAATCTGAAGATCTGTCGAGGTCAAGGGTACAACAACGGTGCGAACATGTCTGGTAGGTACAAAGGAGTAAAAGCGATCATCCTTCAGAGAAATCCTTAAGCTTTCTACATGCTATGCAGCGCTCATAACATTAACCTAGCTGGTGTTCATTCCCTTGAATCTTCTGTAGAAATGAAAAACTATTGTGGCAGGATTCAGTTACTCTACAATCTTTTTAGTGGAAGCCCTATACAATGTGAAATCTTAACCAAGACAACTGGTTTGTCTCTTCATTAGATCTCACAAACCCCATGGCGTGCACGGATTGAGACTTTGAAGCCGTTGGTTAAGCAACTTAGAGAAATTATTTTTTCTTTGCAGAAACTTCAGGAACTTGATTTAACTGCTGATCTGTTGAATGAAGTAAAATCTTTGGAGAAATGGATTTTTTCATTTGAGTTTATTATCATGACAACCTTCTGGTTCGAAGCGCGCTAGGCAATTTTCAGAGTGTCATTTCAATCAGGAAACATTACTTTAGATGAAGAGAAGAAGCTTATGAGGGTTCCTACCGAGGATCTTATGAATTTAGATATTCTTGGCCCGAATTAATTAATGAAGGACATTTGGTTACCTCCGGTCTAGCTAGTTATGGGTTTTAGTCAAAGTTAGTTTAAAAAAGGACAAGGAAGAGGAAAACTAAGGAAAGAAGTTCATTTCTACGAAAACGATGAAAAGTAGTTTGAGGTGAACATATTTAACACTGTACCCATTTTTCAAAACGCCTTTAGATGCTTTTTACATATTTATTACGTATTTGCTTTTTACGAGAAAAACGCATTAAAAAATAATAATACAAGAAAGTTTTTGTAAAACGTTTATTGAAAATTATAATTTGTATGAACTTTTTCAAAGTTCTTTAAAAACAATTATTCAATAACTTTTGCAGGCACCTAAATAAGCTTATTTTCTAAAAAAGTCAATTTTGATTTTCTTTTTTTTTTAGGCGTTTTGAAAAACGGCTGAAGAACACCGCTCTCGATACTTTAATCCATCAAATAAGAGAGCTGCAGAAAAAATGACAAACAGTTTCTCCTCCCTATGGTTATCAGAATCAAATAGTAGTAGGTTGAGTGAAGAAAATTGAACCTCCTAGCCTGGAGGAGAAATGTAAAACTTTAGCGCAAATCTATGTGAACAATGTAAATGAAGAAAAACTAATTTTAGAGGTCCATCATCTGGATATTCTGAAGCACGCCAAGTTTTTCAGTCAAAAAGAATATTTCACTTTAATGAAGCTATTAAATGGAATCTATTAAAAAGGTCTAGAGTCTATCTTCGAATCAATAAGCATTTTGTTACGTATTTTTAACACCGTTCTCGTTTCCATTGCTGAAAGAGAGATCTTTCAGTAAGCTTGGTCTAGATAAAATTAAGATCTAGAATAAGTCAAGACCGGCTTACCAATGTCTTAGTTATATCTATTGAATACGATCTTGCAAAAAGTCATTCCAAATTTTGGTTTAAATTATGCCCGTAGAATCAAATTCACATGAAGCAATTAAAATATCTATTACATTTAAAACTCATAGTTACTCGCAATGTAATAAAGTTCAGTAACTTGTCAAGTTATGTTTCTTTTTTACTTTTATTTCAAATTTATTTTTACTTTTATAAAACTATTTAGAAGCCGTCTTGACTGTATTTACTCCCTCGGCCTTTAAAAGTGAATTTAGTTAAAAAAAAAAAAGCCAGTATTTGGACAATACCTAAACCTTTTTGAATTAGATCAATATGACAGGGCGCTAGATAAGTTTTGACCCCGGGCGTCATAAAGGGTAGCGGCGGGCCTATATATATATATATATATATATATATATGAATATATATATATATATATATATATATATATATATATATATATATATATATATATATATATATATATATATATATATATATATATCATATATATATATATATATATATATATATATATATATATATATATATATATATATATATATATATATATATATATATATATTTATATATATATATATATATATATATATATATATATATATATATATATATATATATATATATATATATATATATATATATATATATATATATATATATATATATATATATATGTATGTATATATATATATATGTATATATATACATAAATAAATGAAGTATAATATATTTAAATAAATATAATTATATAAGTGACTTATATTTATTTTAATTAAGTAAAAAAATTAAGTGAAAATCTTACTCAATAATTGAATAGAGAATAATAAAAGATAAATAATAAACTAATAAAAATAAATCTTACTTGCTACATCTTGGCAAAAAATATTTTCATTCATTTTGATGTCAAGAATATGACCTGTTTTTGTTTTGTGAACTCATTTTAAATACAAAATAGTTGCTTTGAATTCACGAGGTCTTTAACATTTGAAAAACGCATGCGCTAAACTTGTGACGCGCTTTCTAGGTCGGCGTTTTTAAAAAAATTATAAATGTACTTTTGGTGCATCCTATCTAAGGCTAACCCATTCGATTAAGCGAAGTGATTTATTTAAGTAAAAGTTATATAAATTAACATATCTTTAAATCAACCAAGTGTTTGTATTGTTCTTGGAGAATAAAATTTAAAAATATATTGGAGTATTTTTAGTTTGTCTTCGTTAAAACTAGGTTGTGTTTGTATTTCTACTTGAGTCAAGTAGATATGATTAAAATGATAAAGTTTTTATGGTGTAGTTATTTAGATTAAATAGCTTAATTGTTGAGTAAACTTGATTGCTAAAGAAACTAGATTAAGTTTTTAATTCTACTTGATTATCAACTGCTTTTAATGCAAAAAAATTCATTTGGATTTAAGAAAAGGGAATAACATTTTTCAGAGTTTTTCTTCTTCAACTCTAAAGAAGAAAAAATAAAATATAATAATATCAGTGGTTTTTATTAAGGAATTACTATAGTTGAAAAGGCTGAAAGGGAAAAATATGATGATTTATTTCAAGAAAGTAAGTGATTTAGTTCAAAATGTCATTTTAAGGTTTTTGTTCTTTAATAATATTCTGGTTACCAAATTAATTACCAAATATTTGGCAGTATGAAACCTATAATATTATATACCCTATTTTACTTATAAAATTAATAATCTGTAAAGTAATTTGTAAAAGATTTTTAATTGTAAAATTTCTACATGAGAAAACAAGTTTCTAGATAAAATTCAATTATGCTCTATGCTTGTATTCTGTAGGTTAAAAATAATAAATAAAGATGTAATTGATTGTGATGACCAAGAGATTCATTTTAAGACGCATCAATCTTCATCATCTTAAAATAAAAAGGATAAATATGATAGATTTCCCTTATCTCAAGCAAGTAAGTCTTTACTTAAAAATAATAATGTAATGTTTGTTGTAAAATGCTAACACGACTGTCAATATTAAAAGATTTCATTGAAAAGATGAGGTTCCAATTTTAACTTTAAATAATCACCTGCATGAAATCCATTATTTCAATATTGTCAAAATTATAAATCTATGAAACAATCTTTCATCTCTAACCCTAAATCTGAGAAAAACTGTAATATATAGTATAATACTTATTGTGGCTATACCAAAAATTAGCATTGTTACAATCAAGTATTTTACTGTCTATTAGTTTTTCTCTGATTTAGAGTTAGACCAGTAAAGTTGTTAAATTATTAAATTTATGTATTTTAAATTTATTTATATACGTAATTTTGTTAATACTATGTAAAATTTGTAAGTTTGTATTATTGTAATACTATGTAAAATTTGTAAGTTTGTAATATTGTAAGTTTGTTTAGACTTTTAATATTGTGTGTTGCGTCTCCTAAATGAGATAAAAACCCAAAGATCCATAAAACCTAATATAAAATAGTGTGAGCAAGAAGTAGTAACTGAAATGAACAGCCTAATAGAGTTTGATAAATTTGACTCAGCACTTGATAATGTTTCATCTAGTAACTCTGCAGTTGTAAATTGCTAAATACTGATTTAAAAATTTTCTTTAAAATGTATAATTTTTACCACTTAATTAGGAATTGCCAGTTTTTCCATAATTTCTTTCTATTAGAAACAAAGAGTTTAAAATATTGGTGGTAAGAATTGTCAAAAATGTATGATAGGTATGATGAAGAGGTTAGTAAATTAAAAGTGCATTAAAAAGTGCATCCTATAAATACTCTGTTTAAGTTTTTAACGATATTACTCCTATCTTACAATCCATAATACAAATCCCATGCATGGCTCTACATAAGGTGTTTTACCATAATGGGACAAGTGAATAACCGTGAATTTCATATGTGCGAACTGGCGTAAGTACGAATTCGCATAAGTGTAAACTAGCACATGTGTGAAGCAGTTACAAAAACAGACACAATGCCAAATGGAATAAGTGCAAATGGGTATAAATGCGCAAAAAGAATTTCCAAACATTGTCATAAGTGCAAACTAGCATAAGTGCGAATTGGCATATGTGCGTCAAACAAATTTGCGAAATCGCGCTTCTGCGAACTGACATAAGTGTTTTTTTTAAATTTGTCTTCATTTAATTAAAATTTTAATTCAAAATATAAAACTATATAATGAATGCTATTCCATTTATTGATGCTTTGAAGAATCGAATCGAAGTACTATTGCCAACTGGGCTACTCTCACTGGATAGATTGCCAATTAAAACTGATTTAATACGAAGACGGCATAAGGTATTTAAAAACATTTATCTAAAAAAACTAATGATTTATTAATTTAATTATAGAGTATTTTTACACACACACACATACACACACACATATATAAATGCATGGTGGCAAAATTCCATTGGACGCTTGCACTATGTAAAATAGTATAATTGTTTTTTGAAAATTTTTTTTTCTTTAAGTACAAAAAGTTCCCCATTATTTTACAGGGAACCTAACCTTGAACCTGATTTTAAAACTCACTTGTGTTTAAGATAATCAAACCAGGTAATAAAACAATTCACTCTATGGATCCTATGGGAGAACAGATAAATTCCATCAAAAAAGAAGAAGTGAAATGGAAGTGTGATATTATTATTAGATATTCCTATGTCAAAATTTGTATGTACATCTTTTATAATTTTTTTACTATTATACAGTAGTTGTTACTTACAACAAAGATATAGTGTTTTAGAAAAGTTTGAAATATTAACATTACCTTATGCTATACAAGCTGATGGTATATCATGTGGAGTATTCTGCCTTAAATTAACTTTAAGACTCTTAACTGTAATGGATAAATATATATATATATATATATATATATATATATATATATATATATATATATATATATATATCCTTTACAGTTAAGAGTCTTATCCTTTACAGTTAAGAGTCTTAAAGTTAATTTAATATAGTTTGCTGAAAATTATATAAATTGAGAAGTATTGGTGCGCGTCTTTCCACATAAAGAAGTTAATGCATACAGAAAAAGAGACAAAGGAGGTTTGTGAGATTCTTTAGAGAACTGAAAATGTTTATACTACTTTAATGTTAAATGATATCTAAAAAAAAAAGACAAAAAAAAAAATGAGAAAAAATCAAAAAAAAAGTTAAATAGGTAATAAAATATATTTTAATTATTTTTTAATAAAAATTTCAAATAACAAAAAATACTTTAAATATTCAAATAGAAAATGTACATTAAATATTTAATGTACATTTTCTATTTGAATATTTAAAGTATTTTTTAAATATTTAAATCGATGATACCGTATGAGATGCATTGCTTTTAGAAATGAAACTTTATTTTGTATGAACATATTTATATAAAAATGTAATAAAAAATGACTCTTTAAAAAATTTCTTTCATTTCAGTCATTTCTTTTTTAGTCATTTCTTTTTATTTAAAATTTTTTATAAATTGAACCAATTTATTACTTTATGCCCTTAGAGATAAAAACACAAATAGGTAAAAAAAATTTTTTTTAGTTTACTGAAACTAAAAAAAAAAATTTCTTGTATTGTTATAAAACTTTAACTTGTTGAAAGCCTCACATATGAATTAATTGAACAATAATACATTTTTAATTTGTTAGCTCATATAATCTAATTAAAAATATGAAAAAAGACTGTTTGAGTAATCTCTGCACATTTTGCAAACGACAGCTAAAATTCAAAATTAAAATATTAAATTTCCCTATGCAGGCTTCTAAAATATTCTCCAGCATAACTACAACCATGTTGCAAAATTATTGTATTTGTTTTCTAGAGTAACGCAACCCACCTGTGTAAGCTCTATATATATATATATATATATATATATATATATATATATATATATATATATATATAAATATATATATATATATATATATATATATATATATATATATATATATATATATATATATATATATATATATATATATATTCTTTTTGTATTTATAAATATATATATATATATACATATACATTTATAAATACAAAAAGAAGCAAATAATCAACTTAAAAAATCACATCCCACCTATGTATATATTTAAAATATTACATCCCTTTAGTATTTCATAAAATTTTCTCAAATGAGTAGCAATTAATATATTAAATATCACATCCATCACTTAAAAGTTCTGTTTGTACCACAAAAAGAAACTAAAATTCTTACCTAAAATATCACACCCCCCTATGCCCCCCAAAAAAACTTAAATTTCTTACCTTAAATATAACATCTCCTCTGTGTTTACCTTTTAAATATTACATCCCCCTAAGTAATTTATAAAGCATTTCAAACGACTAGTACTTGGTATCTAGAATATCACATCCCCTCGGTTTATTCACTGTATATATCACAAAAAGAAACTGAAGTTCTTACTTAAAATATCACATCCCCCCTATGTATGCTACAAAAATATTACATCTCCCTAAGAAATTCATACAATATTTCAAACGGTTATTATTAAGTGTTTAAGATAACAGATTCATCACTTGTAAATTCAGTATGTACCACAAAAAGAAAATTAAATTCTTATTTAAAATATCACTTCTCCTGTATGTTTACTTTTAAAATATTACACCCTTTAAGTAATTCATATAATATTTCAAACGACTAGTATTTTGTATCTAGAATATCACATCCCCTCGGTTTATTCACTGTATATGTCACAAAAAGAAACTAAAATTCTTACTTAAAATATCACATCCCCCCTATATCTACTTCTGAAATATTACATCCCCCTCAGTAATTTATAAAGTATTTTAAACGAATAGTATTTGGTATCTAGAATATAACATTCACCACTTATTATTTCTGTATACGTCAAAAAAAGAAACTGAAATTCTTACTTAAAATATCACATCCCTCCTATGCAGATTTCTAAATTATTGCAAACGATTGTTATTTTTATTACCTAAAGTATTATATCCCTCATGTGCAATCTTTTTTTTACTATTGTCACGAAACACATTACGATCAAAATTTTATAAATATGAATTTAAAATAAATTACCATTTTATGCTAACTTCATTTATAGTAAAACGTTTTTATGAATCTTGTTGCATTTTTATTATATTGTTTATAATTGAATGTTTCGGACGTCCTTGATTCACTTCTACGTGCAATGACTTAAAAGCGCTATCTCATTTTCGCTTTTTTTATAGGAGATGTGATATTTTAGGCAGATATAATATTTTATTACATAACATTTATTTATTTTAATTATTTATTCTTTTTAACACCCATATTACAGGTAAAAAAACAAATTGTTTAAAACTAATATTTTATACTTTCAGTGTAAAAAATTTTAATTTTTCTTTGGATGTTTTCCTCCAAAACTTAGTAAATACCAGTCTTTGTTTTCTGATATTCCAGAATTCAAAAGAATAGTTTAAAATTGCCGCTATATTTTTTCCTACGTCATCATAGCAACGTTTTACCATTATTTTTTTCCCCTCTATCAAACACTGCTGAAGTTTAGCTCAGGTTGATTGCAAATATTTATTACTTCGTTGATAAATAGGTTATCTTTAGTAACATCAGATATCTGAGCCAAAATCAGGTAAAAACAAGTTGGATTGTTCAATAGTATGATAAACAGATTTAATTTGTTTCGAATGAGGATGGTAGATATGTCATCAATTTTAAAGAAGGGATGCAGGTAGTTTTTGCTGTACTTCGATATACTAATTCACTTCTTAATAAACTAGACGCTGTTTGAAGGTCAGCATTAAAATAGGAATTTTAATGCTGACCTTCAAACAGCGTCTAGTTTATTAAAAAGTGAATTATTATAACAACAAATTTCTAACCCGTATGATAAATTCGGTACAACCAGTGATTTGAACAAGCGTACTATGGTTAATGGTTGATAAAAACGAATACCCGATTTTATAAGAGCTCTGGATATTGATTGAAACTAATTAATACGTTCGTTTACATTTAATGTTTGAAGTGTTGCTATATTTTTTGTATTATTTTGATTATCCCATAGGAATCCGAGTTGTTTCAGTTTATTCTTGAGGTGTATGGAAAAGCCGTTTACTTGAATTGAATTTTTTGTAATTGAGATTTTACCGGATATAATAAACTCGGTTTTTTCAGTGTTTAATTTAATATATAGGTTTTGGCATTGTGACTGAACTTTATTAACCAATTCTTGTAAACCAGAAAGAGTAGGACTTAGTAGGATTATATCGTCTGCATAAGCTATAATACTGGTGTCCACCCCACTTATCGTTGTTATAACTTTGCAATCTGAAACAATTTGATTTAATATACTTTGAGTGAATAAGTTATATAAATGTGGTGATAAAATGGATCCTTGTCGCACGCCTTGAGACAAACGGAAATGATTTGATTTATGCCCAAGGTATGATATACTAGCAGTACCCGATAGGTATAGTGATTGTAGTGCGTGAACTACTGATAGCGATAATTTTTTGTTGTAATAAAGTTTTTCAAGCAACAATTCTCAGTTACAGCTATAGAAAGTCTTATTTTGCATCTAAACTACAAATATATATTGATGAATTATTGTTATTGTAATGATTTATTGTTTCACTAAAAAGAAACTCTGCATGAAGAGTAGAGCTATTATGTTTGAAGCCAAATTGGTGAGAGTGGCTATCTGATATTTTCGGACATTTTTCCATAATAATATATTCAAAGAGCTTTGTCAGAATTGCCATGATACTAATTCCGCAATAGTTATCGAGATTATCAAGAGATTTTTTAAAGGATTTCACTATTGGAACAATGACAGATGTTGATAGGTACTCCAGCACCGCTCCATTAATGAAGATATTGTTATAAAACTTTGAAAGCCATGTAAGTAAATTGTTGTTATATGAGTATTTAAGATGTTCTGCAGTAATTCCGTAGGAATCACGTGATCTATTAGATCTAAGCTTAAGAATACAAGTTTCGATGTCGGAAGTTGATACAAGAATTTTATTAGGCTCATCAATGAGTTGTGGAATACGACGGTGTTTGTTGTTGTTGTTGGTAATTGTGGGAGTGTTGAGAATGGTACTAAAGCTTTGTCTAAATTCTTCTACAAGTTCTTTTTTATCTTGTTTTTTAGTAAAAATACTAGTGTTAGGATTTGATTTAAATTTTTGGATATTGTTCAAAAACTTTAGTGGATTACTTTTTCGAAGAGATTCAATATTTTTGGTGATTTTATTAATTTTGAAGTTGTGAGCCGCTTTTACAATTTTGCGGAAATTTTTTCGAGCTAGCTTGTACTTGTTAAATGAATTGCATTCCTGCGATCTACTAAAGTTATCTTTTTTCCATTCTTTAAAGTGGAAAGAGAGAATATCTTTGCACGATTTAATTTCTGGTGTCCACCATGATTTAGAGTAAGCTCCTGATTCTTTTTGTGGAAAACAGTCTTCTATTGCTAAAATAGCAGCGTTGTTTATTTTTTCACATGTTGTTTGAGATTGTTTCTCTATTTCTTCTCCAATAAAAGTGTAATCTTTGAAAAAATCGGAGAGATTCTGATTTATTCTGACTATAAATTTTAATAAAGTTATTATCATTTCATGCATACTTTGGGATTATATTATATTTTTTAAGAATACTATTTACAACTAGTGTTAGACTTTTATTTTGATCGCTCATGTTTAGATGCGAAGGAGGAATAACATGGTAGCCAGTAAAGCATATTGATGATTCTTATATGATCGATATAAGATGAATTATTCAGCGTTTTATGTTTATAGGTATAGGTTGGACCAGTACCATTAATTATGTCCAAAAAAGAGCTCAATTATGTCCGAAAAAGAGCTCATTTAATTCAAGAAAATTGGGTAAATACTTAGAAAAGTTATTTCGTGTTTTATTATTTTAGATTTCCGTATCATATATATTTTCTGGAAATGACTGAAAATCGCCTGCAATTATATATTCTTCTTCATCTTCATATGTGTTAATGATGGAGTTTATCAAACTAATTTGAGACATATATTCTTCTAAGGATTCAGAAGTATTTCTGCATTAAGTAAGATAAACTCAAATAAAAATAAAAACACTGTCGCCAAAGGAATCTTTTATTGAAAGAATGTGTTCATCTTTGTGTATTACTTGAAGAGACAACGGTAAGCTTTTACGAAATAAAAAAGGATTTCCCCCAAAAGGTCTTCCGTATTCTTTTTTTTCGGCACAGTGAAAAAATAATTGATGTGTCGGAGCAGCTAGATCATTTAAAATAAAACGCTCAGCATTTGAAAGCCAATGCTCGGATATAAAAATTATTTCGAAGGATTTAATCAAGGTAGAGATATAAAAGGTGTTTCATTTAATACTTTGACAGTTATATGCACAAAAACTAAAAGTAAAAGTTTTTAATTTATTGTGCGTTTACCCATTGTGATTTCGGATTTATCTATAGGGAAGAGCTGCATATTGTTGATGTTCATCTTCAGATTGACTTTTTGTTATTGACTGCGATATTGTTATTATTTTGAGGTATTATTGTTCTTAAGTTTTCACGAGACTTTCGAAATTTTTTAACAATAATGTTGTTGTTTCGAATTTCAGGTTTTAAGACAATATGTTTTTCGTAACGTTTTATTGGTACCTTGAAGGAACGATTATATTTACTTGCTCGGTTAAGTGTGACAGCAATCGGTTCGACGCCTTCTTCTTTTTTTAAGTAATTATACCAAAGATCTTCTGATATAGAATTGCAAACGCTTCCGAAAAATATATCAAATTCTCGAACAATACGGCTACCTGCAATAGAGCTTCTGTTTTCAGCTATTTGGCTTCCAAAGATTGGTTCTTTTTTTGGAATGAATGTACCCGGTGTCGAATCATAATGGTTTGTTTGTTCAAACCAGTCACAATCAATACTTTTATTTCCAATTTTTTTTACATTATTATGGTACGCAATTTTGGGTGGTAATTTAACTTTTTGTGCATAATTTTTACGTATTTTTAATTTTTCGTTAATATTCTCTACAGTGAAGTGTGGAGTAGTTTTACTTTGTGCATGATTTTGAATTGTACGGTAGTTTTTTCAATTTGAAACAATAAGATTTTCTGTTGGTTTTTGGATAACCGATGATTTAGTGACGCAATTTTGAGACAGCTGTTGTTGATTTTTTTTAATTTCTGCATTTGATTCATAAAGTTCGTCGTATTTTACTTGCAGTAAACGAAGATCTTCTCGAATTTTGATGGTATCTGAATGCAATGCCTTTAAGCGGTGATTGAGTTCTTTTAAATTCGACAGAACATTTATTTCTTTTAAATGTGTAGTTATTTGTTCACTAATTATTTTTGAGTTAATGATCAATTTAGTAAAATCTTTGTGGAGCTGCTTTTCAGCAAGAGAGATAGACATTAAATATATATCATCTAAACACGTAGAAACCTTGTATCTTTTTCTAAGATTTTTCTTCACAGGGTCATTAGAATCAAGACTAATGTTTAAGTCAGAAAATTTTTTTATCTCAAAGCTTTCTAGGATCTCCGTAAACAGAAAACCTCTGAGACAATATATATCTTCCTCTTGAAGTTTTGAAAATTCTTTCATGATTACATCTTTCGAATGGGAGCAAACTTCTTCCACATTAAGAATGTAGTTTTCTACGAGATTCTTATTATTATTATTATTATTATTGCTATTATTATTATTATTATTATTATTATTATTATTATTATTATTATTATTATTATTATTATTATTATTGCTATTATTATTATTATTATTATTATTATTATTATTATTATTATTATTATTATTATTATTATTATTATATTTTCTTTGCCGTATAATTAAATTTACAATGAGAAAAAACCATTCATGTATAAAAATTGGCCGGAGCAAGAAAAAGACATAAACTGTCTTATCGCCAAGCCCCGTTTACATTAACGTCACAAAGTTACAAGTTAAAAACTAAAAGGTTAAAAATTGAAGTACAATACAATATTAGTTCGACAAATATAAGACACAAGTAATAAGTCGAACAAATGTTATTTGTCTGTTCAAAATTATTAGTATATATATTTTTTATTTTAATAAGAAATAAACAAGATACACAAGACAATAGTAAATGAGTAGTGATGACTTTTTCAGGTTTAATTATTTTAGGTAATTTTAGAAGAAATCTTTAAAATCGAAAGTTTTTTCTAATAGAAAACGTTTAGATTCTCTTTTGAATTGTTCTAAGGAGATGCCTTGAAGAATTTTATTTTTAATTATATTTTTTAAAAAACCTTTCCATATAAATGGTCCCCGGTATTGAATTTGAAATGAATTGAGTTTTAAATAAGATCTTGGAATAACAAAATTATCAGATGAAAATTTAGTGGGATATTTATGAGATATTTCGGTAAAGTAAGACTGAAATATATTAGGAGATAACGCATGTTTTGTTTTAAACATAAATAGCATAACTTGGTATATATTAAGTTTGTAAATATTAAGCACATTAAGTTTCTTTAAAAGAGATTCACCATTAACAGTTCTGTTAACGCCAAAAATAATCCTACAAGCATGTTTTTGTTTGCTATAAATTTTTTTGAGCTTCCCATAATTGGTACTTGCCCATGCAAGATTACAATAGGAAAGATAACTATGAATAAATGAGAAATATATAATTTTTAAAGATTTCGTATTAAGAAAAGGTTTAACTTTATATAGCATTGAAATATTTTTGGAGATTTTATTTTCAATAGATCTAATATGATATTTCCATGATATATTTTCATCTAATATCACTCCTAGAAAGTTAATAGTTGACTCTCTTTTAATAACTTTTTTGTTCATAAAGAGATCAGGTAGTTTTAAAAAAAGGTTATCACCTTTACTAGGTTTGTGGAACAACATAAATTTAGTTTTCCCAACATTTAATGAAAGTTTATTATTCGTAATCCATTCATTTATTTTTAATAACTCTTCATTAAAAATTCTAAACAGATCTTTAATATTTCTGTTAGAGTAAAAAAGATTTGAGTCATCAGCAAACAAAATAACGTTTAGAATTTTGGATGCTAAATACAAATCATTAATGAACAGTATGAATAATAAGGGCCCTAAGATTGATCTCTGGGGAACACCACAAGTTATGATATGTTTTTTTTCTTCATTTTCTGTATATATTATGTATTGTTTCCTGTTTGAAAGGTAACTTTTAAACCATTGTAAGTTATTGTTTAATACTCCATACATTTCTAGTTTTTTTATTAGAATATCATGATTAACAGTGTCAAATGCTTTTGACAAATCAATAAAAACTCCTAATGTATAGCAATCATTATTGAACCCATTGGATACATAATTTATTAGATCGACTACTGCATGGTCCGTTGAATGATTTTTTTTAAACCCAAATTGTTTATTATACAGAATATTGTTCTCAGTTAAATAGTTGTTAAGTCTATCATACATAATTCGTTCTAATTTAGAGAAACATGGTAAGACAGAAATAGGTCTATAATTGGACATATTTGTATCATCGCCATTTTTAAAAATAGGTATAATCTTAGCAATTTTTAATTTCTCCGGTACAATACCGGATTTTAAAGAAAGATTAAAAATGTGAAACAGTGATGGTTCAATAATATCAAACATAGATTTAACTACATTTACGCTAATTTTATCAATGCCCGCACATTTATTATTTTTTAGACAGTTGAAAGTATTGCGCATCTCACTTAAGTTTAAATTAGATTCTATCATAGATGTGTTGGGTGTATTTATATAAGATTCGAAGTTGTTTGAGTTGGTTTTCGAAATTTTATCAGCTAATCTTGGTCCAATATCAAGAAAAAATTTGTTGAGCTTGTTAATAAAGACTTCTTTATTATAAATTATATCCCCGTCAACTAAAAGTTTTTCTGGCAATTTATTATTTTGACATTTATTTGTACCGATTATCTGCTTAATTACATTCCACGTCTTTTGTGTGTTTCCATGTGTTTTTTCTAGCAATTTTGCATAATAATTTTTTTTAGATTGTTTCTTTATTTTTACAAACAAGTTTTTATAATTTTTATATTTTGTTTCATTTTTATATGTTTTATGTTTTAAATATTTTTCATAAAGGTTTTGTTTCCTCTTTGATGATTTGAGTAAACCTTTGGTCATCCAAGGGTTTAAAAGTGATTTAGGATTTATAATTTTTTTTATTACTGGAAATGCCAAATTGCTATTCAGATACAAAACTAATTCACTAATTTTTCTCGGAGCCATTTTAGCGTAACATTTTCAAAACTTTTTTTTTAAAAAAAATAAAAAAATAAAATTCGTCTGTTCTCTTCAATCTCCAAAGCGCAAAAATTTGGCCGATAAAATACTTTTGTTTTTCCGGACTGTTGTGGACCATATATTCTTAGTTTTAGTTCAGAAATGCAAAAGATACAGTCAGTCATTCTGGGTAACTTTGAATTTGCGTGTAACATTGAATAAAACGTGTAAATGTTTTTAAATTTTTTTTTTCTTTGGCATTTTCTTTGTCTGTTGCTTTAACAAAGGATATTATAATAAATTATCCTTTTTTACAAAAGTTTGACTATAGATAATTGAATTTTG